GAGGAGAGAGAAGAGAGAGAGAGAAAGAGGAGAGTGAGAAAGGAGAGAGGAGAGTGAGAGTGAGAGAGGAGAAAAGAGAGAGAGAGAGAGAGAGAGAGAGAGAGAGAGAGAGAGAGAGAGAGAGAGAGAGAGAGAGAGAGAAGAGAGAGAGAGAGAGAGAGAGAGAGAGAGAGAGAGAGAGAGAGAGAGAGAAAGAGAGAAGAGAGAAAGAGAGAAGAGAGAAAAGAGAGAGAGAGAAGAGAGAGAGAGAGAGAGAGAGAGAGAGAGAGAGAGAGAGAGAGAGAGAGAGAGAGAGAGAGAGAGAGAGAGAGAGAGAGAGAGAGAGAGAGAGAGAGAGAGAGAGAGAGAGAGAGATACACTGCTTTCTAAGGAAATGATTAACTAATAACATATTTGATAAATGTATAAGAAAATCAAAACATACAATCTAAATAATTGGAACCCCCACAAACAATATTTCAGTGAAAGAGGTTAAAGCCTATATTGCTATACATCACCTACAGTCTGAAAGGCCCTGTAAAATCATTCAACTCAATCCCAATGAACCTGATATTAGTGCACATTATTCAATACATATCCCAAAATGTTGTACCATCCTTCTTGCCCGTCCTAAAGGCACAGAAGATAATAAATGAAGAGAGATTGAGAAGTGGAATAAAAAAAAAATAAAATAAAAAAAATAAATGCTGAAAAAGATGTCAGAGGCAACCATTCAAGCATTAGTCTTGTATTGTAAAAGTACATAATTATATATATGGCATCAAAACTTGTTTCTTATTTTTTTTCTTATTTCTTATGGGCTGCAGTGAGACAGGCAAAAGTGTAAAGAACTGGACTGTTATTTAAGTTTCACAGAGAATGAGAACTTATATATGTTTAATATCACAATTCTATGTGCTTACTGTGTGGACAAAAGCCACTGATATTGCATTCTAAAATCCACTGATTTCAGCATGGTGTGCTGGTGTGTTATATCTGAATCACAGAATATGGCAGAAATATGTGAAAATATCAAATGACAGAATTTACGACATAATTTGAACATCAAATTTAGGATACAGAATACTGAACTGATTTTATCTTTCAGACAAGAAAGTGTTTTTCATTCATTATTGTAAAAACTTTTACCTCTGCCTTTAAAACATGCTCCTTGAATGTGTATACATATAAATGTGAATCTTTATGTGTGGATGTTTTCATAACAACTATCCATCAGTGACAATGAGAAATGAGAGAAATTACTTGTTTAATCTTCTGTATCCTTTCCCGAAAACCTCAAATAAACCTTACTTATAAATAGTGTTTTCTTTCATCAACATATGAAAAGATGATCCTGGTAACTTGAGTTTTGCCAAAGGTAAAAAGACATAACACAATACTCTCAAATCCTACATACATACAAGCTTGTACACATCAAAATTTGTATTTCACTATCTATAACTGACATTTTCCTATTCATATATGTTTAAAATAAGCAAACCATCTTTCACTCAGTATAACTAAATATTTATTCATATCAAAATGGGTTCAAGAAGCAATATAAGTACAAACACTCAAAGAACTAAAACAAAATAATACCATGAGCTGCATAGATTACCTAGACCTAAACTTGTTTCTATAGCCAGCAGATTAATATATCCTATTAGGATCAGAGTAAGTAGCCGGACTTCACTTGTCATAAACTAGCATAAGAATTTGTTGCCCACAAATGGTATTTCATATATATGAATTTTTACGACCTTAGTTATATGATCAGATTCACTTAAATTGACATACAGTTTATTAGAAAAATAGGTCACCAGTCTCTGCTCCTGCACTAGAATACTTTCTAGTAAGCTAGTGTATTTACATTGCAAGGTTTTCATCTACAAAGAATATTTTCACCATTCAACCTTGTTCTATATTCCATGCCACACCTACATTACTCCACCTAGTACTACTTGGAAAAATATATATATTATTACATAATCAATAACATCTTTACACAAAAAGGTAAAAACAAAAGCATGAAAAACAAAAACAAAAAAAGCAATACAATTTGTGGACATCACGGATCTCACAACTATATGTCTTCACAACTACAAAACTGCATGACGAATGTATAAAGATTTAAACCACAATTTAGGCCAAAGTAGTAGATGTTAGCAACAGCAGCTTTTAATTATGATAACAATCATCATCATTGCCATCAAAGGTAAATTAGTATGAAAGACTAACCCTGACTAGAGTTGTAACAAACACTAGATTATTATGATGCCATGAAACACTATATCCCTTAAAATAATACTAATTTTCATAACCATTCTTTACTTGATGCAATATGCATTTTGGGTTGTAAATGCCACATTTAATCCTTCATTGGTATGACATAAATTTAGTAACTTTTATTTAAGGAAATATAGTTGTACCATTCCTGCATGATAAAAAAAAAAAAGTGGTTTTCAAAGTGATCTACCAAGAGCTTTACTGTATTGACTGAAGATTAGCAAAAAATATTCCATTACAAAATTGTTACTGTACTTTCACAGTAAACACTGTATAGATCCTACCACCCTATCAAGTATAATCATCACCATGATTTCCTACCAAAATCAACCAAAATATTCTTATTGTATGCAAGTAAATGATATAATGGAATGGGCAAAAGCCAAATATCCATATGCATTGCTCAGTAAACACATGCAACTGCAATCAATCAAACATTTCAATAGTTGTCAGATGTGAAATCCAATTAATAATCACACACACAAATACCTGGTGTAATTCTTACCTTGCTCTAAGTCTTGTTCACACTTTCCAGAATGGAAATACACAATTAAATGGAATATAAAAGAGTACATACAAAAAAATAATGCAAAACTTTACAAATGTACAGATTAATGATGTAAATGCACAACAGGCAAACTCCTTAAAAATATTTGGTAAATGAAAAACAAAGTGTACAATACATGCTTCTGACTTATGGATAAAGATTTGAATATCTTATCTTTTGCAATGACAAAAGAAAAGAAGAGCAGTGGGAGAGAAGTGGGGAGGAGTGAGAAGGGAAGAGTGGTAGTGAGAGAGCAAGTGAATGAGTTTGTCTATTCATGTGAAAGTGATTTTGCCCTCTCAGCGATCCATGTAAATGATACATTAAAGACATCCTCCAATCAAACAACCTGTTCTGTGCTTCTAATCTAAATAGCTACCTCAAAAAAACATTATGAAGAAAGAATGTCCTAGGGTAAAGAAATGTGACTAGCATCTAAACCTTCCATCATGTTGGTGTATTCTCAAGGATCATGTATTAAATGAGATGTTTTCTCTCTCTTCATAGACAAGACAACTAACATGAATCAACATAATCAGTGCTTGTGCTATGGAAAACAAACACATCAACTTTGGCTATAAGGAATTTTCTAGCTTCAACTGAGAACATCAGTTTACTCAATCTGTGGATGGTATAAAGAATAAATTTAATGATTCTATGATGGTTGACCTCTAACCTTGACATTTAATTTTGACCACAGAAGGTTTTAATAGTCCTACATGTATTCAGACCAATGTACAGGACATTCATTCTCCTTCATGTATCTATTACCTGCATGGATTACATATGATTATTTTGATTCTGCTGCATCATCTTTGGTCTTTTTTTTGTTTACTTCCCCTCTTACCACAATCGATAAAGTTAATTCCTGATTCTCATAATAATTTTTACTCCATTTACAGCTGTGGAAATAAGTTCCTTTGGAAAGCTAACCCATCAAGATGCAAGCTCACACCAGTAAAAATACAAGTGAAATTAATGGTTTTCTATGTGTGATTGGTGGAAAGAGTTAGTTTAACTCTAAGTGGAGTTTTAGCTGGATCATCTGTATTTGTTTATTGTTGTTTTCTTGTTGGAATTGGTACTGGTATTTTCTAACTTTGTCACTTTTGACATTTCAATATAATCAAATAATCACAGTAAGTGTATCATTGAGTCTTATTCAAGTTTAATCTGAAGAATAGTAATTGTTTTAACTAACTTTAAGTAACATATCTTAAACTATGATGTCAGTAAAGAAAAACTATAACTAAAAGCTGCATAGAATGCATATCACTTAACCCGTAGCCAACGGGTGGCATGTACGTACATGCCATGGCTGTCGTGGACCGAAACACGGATGGCATCGTATCATGCCCATTCCCGCGCCATTGGCTCGTCGGACGGTTTGTTTTTCTCCAATAGTAGTGGCTTCATTTATATGGTAAAGCTTTTAGGCAATGGCACCTATAATGAAGGTAAACCTTAAAAATTTTAATATTTTTATAAATTATAGCAATATAAAAGCTTTTAGGTGCTAAATGTCGCTCGCAAACTACCAATCAAGCCAGGCGCAAACAGGGGAAACTGCCGATGCAAGTCAACAATCCCGTTCTTACCTCCACTTGCCAATTATTTTTACCCGTCAGCACTGGGTTGAACTTTATACTTGCTCCTCCTCTGGTTGGCTCTATCATATCAATCAATGGGGGCAAAGGAACTCATTTGTGCAACTGTACTGAGAGTTACTGAACATTCCATATGATATGATTTGTTTATCAAATAGTATTTACTTTTATTTGCATGTATGTTAATGCTACCTTCTCTTCAAACTATGGATCCAAAGAAGCACGGATGGGGAGGGCAGGTGGGTGGGGAGGGGGAGAAGTCACAGCAAAAAAAGGAAACATAAGATGAAGCCATATCATAGAAGAATCAAAAAGGGATAACTGGCTTCATGCTTGAGAACTTTTTTAAATCTTTGTTTCCTTAGAATCTTGACAACCTATTCTCTTTATCTAGATGTGTAAATAAATTGGTGTAAACCTTGTTCTCAAAATATAGTTATGATCATGAGAAATCAACAAGGATATTTGTATAAATAATGTCTTACTTGTCCAAATTATTCCATCTCTTATCAAAATTTCAACAAAAATTATACACAGCAATGAAAAAAGGGAAACATTCGTCATTTTTGTCTTAAATGATATTTGAAAATCAAAATCTGCTGATAACAAGCAGTTAACAGCCAACACCTGCATCTACACACATACAAACACACAGTGGAACATACACACAAACACAAGATAAAAAAGTGTACAAAAAATATAAAGGAAATATTAATCAGAACACAACTTAGATCAAAATCAAATAAGGAACTCATAATGCATCATTAAGAAAAATAGCAAATGAGGAACTATCATGTTTTCTTTGCCATGGCATACTCAGTTTTCTTGCAATTTTCCATTTTAATGTTTCAGCACACACAAAATAGCAACCTTATAAACTCACTTTTAGGAACCAAAGCAACTTGCACCAATATTTAACTAGTATATGTAAAAGTCAAGGTCATAATAGTAGTCTAATAATGGCAAAATAATCACTAGTGCATTTGGTCACACCTATGTAAGAATTTTCATATACTTGACTTTCTCAGTAATCAAAGGTAACTTAGCCAGTTGATTACTGTTCCCAGGAGAGATATCAAAAATCAAAAACCTTTGAACACTACATAAAAGAAAAAAGAAAGAAAAAGAAAAAAAAAAAATCCAAATAATTTCTAACCATTATTGCCCAATCTACATGTTTCACATTTTATCCCCTAATCTTCACTTTCTTTTGATTACTTTTCCGATATTTCCTTCTTGGCAGATGTCTGTGATGTGTTTTGGGAAACTATTCTGAAGGATGACCCACTGATAGATGCATCTGCACCAAGTTTCTTAAGACTATACTTCCTACTTGAGTTGTCTCTACTGGACGTGTTCAAACTCTCCTCTCCTGGCACATTTTCTAAATCCTGCTGAGCTTTCTGCAACACACGTGTGAAGGGTGAAGTGGCTGCCAGGTAAGGTCGAGTGTCATATGAGAACATAACCCCTAAGGCAACATTGAATGCTGAAGCGTCATAATGGTGGCACCCTGAGTAGCGGAAAAGTGGCTTTTTGTCATACCTGAAATGCGAGATAATAAAAAGTAAAGCATAAATACTAGTTCTATTGTTATAGCTAGAATTTTGGGTAGTTGAAAATCATAATTCTAACATAAAACTGAAAATAAAGTTTATTATAGCCTCTGTGAGACACATTTCAAATTTTAAGTGAGTCTGTCTTTCAGTTACTTGAAACTGGAATATGCAACAGCATGATTGACCAATTTAACTACTTAGGTGTGAGAGAGAGAGAGAGAGAGAGAGAGAGAGAGAGAGAGAGAGAGAGAGAGAGAGAGAGAGAGAGAGAGAGAGAGAGAGAGAGAGAGAGAGAGAGAGAGAGAGAGAGAGAGAGAGAGAGAGAGAGAGAGAGAGAGAGAGAGAGAGAGAGAGAGAGAGAGAGAGAGAGAGAGAGAGAGAGAGAGAGAGAGAGAGAGAGAGAGAGAGAGAGAACAGATACACACACATACATACATACAAATAAAAAAAAAAAAAAAAATGTGCAAAGGACTTGCACAATGAAAAGTAGGGACCCACCTGCAGCCTGTATCTTGGGCCCCTATTGGACTGATGCAGTTGTGTGTGAGGGCACAGGATACCCAGGGTTTCGTCAAGTGATCATGGACATCTTTTGTGTTATAGACTAACATTGTGCCTGCATCTCCCATCTGATGAAAGTAAGGAGTGATTACTTCCTCTTGTTTATCAATTTCTTAGAATTTCTTGTACCAAACATAGAAAGCTTATCAAATTACCAAAGTGTTTTTGTTTTCTGCATTATGTGCTGGTTACAACAGACAGTATCAATTGAATATTTGAAAGACATATAATATTTATCTTATAAACTAATGTTAAAAGAAAATTAACAGGGCTCATCTTTCTAAAATTCAAATTCCTATTCTGCAAAGTATGAAACTAAGCTACTTGTTAGATAACGCCGTTCATTAACTGGCGGAAAATGTAAATGTTTCACTTAAGCATGAATATGGAACTTACTTTTACAGTAGAGTAAGTCTTCACTTTATAATTCTTACTAGCAACAGTTTGAAAACCTATTCTTTGTCCTACTGGAAAGGGACTGATATTGATAAAGTAAAGTAGAATGGCCTGTAACTTTTTTGGTGAGAGAGTGAACTGAATTACAAATATATCATCCAAAAGACATGGATGGGAATCATATCATTGGCAAAATTACCTGCTGAAAATCATAATAATTCTTTTTGGTGTGGAAGAAAGTAAACATGTTGGGGTGGGTGAGGGCTGCTGTGGGAAGGAGTGCAGGGTGGGGCAGAGGCCAGGTCAAGACACCACCGTTCTTAAGTGCCCAAGTGCTCCACTCTGCCATTTTCTCAGCTGCCATGTTGGCGTCCTGAACTTCACTCACTAGTCGCACACTAGCATCTAACCACAGGACTGCCCCGGCACGAACTAATAATTCCTGTTGATGAGATGGAAAATTGTTATGTATATGGACAACAATATGATAATGGAAAAAAAAAAAAAAAAAAAAAAAAAAAAAAAAAAAAAAAAAAAAAAATCATATCAAAATAATCTAACACTT